CGAATCGCCTCGCAAGAAGACTCGACGAGTTTCAGCCACCGGAACAGGCCGGGTTTCGGGGAGGATATGGCACCATAGACCACATACACACAGTGAGGCAGATTATACAGAAGTCCGAAAAGTATAATCGGCCCCTGTGTTTAGCTTTCGTGGACTATGAGAAGGCCTTTGACTCTGTCGAAACCTGGGCTGTCCTGGAATCCTTACAGCGGTGCCAAGTGGACTATCGTTATATACAAGTGTTGAGATGTCTTTACGATGCTGCTACCATGAGTGTCCAAGTACAGGACCAGCAGTCTGAACCTATCCAATTACACAGAGGGGTGAGACAGGGGGATGTCATATCCCCGAAACTGTTCACCGCTGCATTGGAGGATATGTTTAAGACGCTGGACTGGAAAAGGATGGGCATTAACATAAACGGCGAGTACATCTCACACTTGCGATTTGCAGATGACATAGTCCTAATGGCAGAATCGCTGGAGGAACTGGATCAGATGCTGAACAGCCTAGCATCCGCCTCGCGGCGGATTGGTCTCGGCATGAACTTTGATAAAACCAAAGTCATGATCAATGACCACATTGATCCGAGACCCATCTGCGTCGATGGCCACCTTCTTGAAGTTGTTTCCGAATACACTTACCTCGGGCAGATTCTGCAGTTAGGTAGAAATAACTTCGAGAAGGAGGCCAGGAGGAGGATTCAGCTTGGCTGGGCAGCGTTTGGGAAGCTACGTCGAGTCTTTTCGTCGCCCATCCCGCAGAGCTTGAAAACAAAGGTTTTCAACCAGTGCGTCCTACCAGTTCTAACGTACGGAGCTGAGTCGTGGACACTCACGATACGGCTAGTCCACCAGTTTAAAGTCGCTCAGCGAGCTATGGAACGAGCTATGCTCGGAGTTTCTCTGAAAGATAAACTCCGTAATGAGGTTATCAGACAGAGAACCAAAGTGATCGACTTAGCTCTTCGGATAAGCAAGCTGAAGTGGCAGTGGGCTGGACATATCTGCCGAAGAACCGACAACCGCTGGGGTAAACGAGTTCTTGAGTGGAGACCACGACTTGGCAAACGTAGTGTGGGACGCCCTCCAGCCAGATGGAGTGACGATCTGCGGAAGATTGCTGGCAGGAAATGGATGCGTCAAGCCGAGAACAGGGCGAAATGGCGTGCATTAGGGGAGGCCTATGTCCAGCAGTGGACTGCAATAGGCTGATGATGATGATGAATAATTATATTTATAATAATAACGAGAGTTGTACCCCACCTACTGTGGGGTCGGGTTTATATTACGGAATGTGCATATGCTCTTCGGTGGCATAGCGATACAAAATGAATAAAATTGTCAATTTTTTTAATGCTTTTTAACACAGTTTCTTATAAGGATGACTTTATTGTATTAGAAGAAAATAATCGGAACGACAGAAGTTGGTCAAATTTAACAAAATGTTATTATTTTATGAATTTAAACCAACTTCAGCTGTCCGATGTATTTCGGCCCAATAAAATGCAATAAAATGATCCCTTCGTGAAACTGAGTCCATTAGCAATAAAAAAAATTGATCAATTTTACTCATTTTTATGGACAACTCACGCTTGATCAAAAAATGTACTACGCCAAAATTATTTTCGCAAAAAAATGCTTAATGGTTTCTAAGACACTTTCCTTGTACCTTCTATGGTTTTGTATTTCCCCATACTGTCCCATTTAAAGTTTTTATGTTATAATATATATGCATATATATTTTATTTATATATATATATATATATATTTTGTGTGTTATAATATATATTTATTTTATTTAAAGTTTTGTTAAATACAAAGTTTTAGTTTAATACAGAGTTTTTCTGTTTTGTGGTTTCTGGTAGACACGTTCCTAGAGAAATAAATGTAGGCCATACAAATATTTCTCCCGACCCGGGAGCGTATATGGCTTACCGTATACAGTACGTCCCCAAAGTAGAGACGAGATAGGTACGCTTTTCTAAGGGGCTAAACAACTGAAATACCGTACCCAGTATGTCCCCTAAAAGTGACGAATTAGATACGCCTTTCCATCTACCGTATAAGATTAAGCCATTAGAAACCCATATTTAGTACGTCCACTAAGGGATGAATTAGGTACGGCTTTTCGTAAGAAACGCTCGTAAGAAAACGTCTTTCGTCACGTCTCGAGTAATTACTCAAACAAAATATCTGCTATAACAAAGCATTTATGTAATTATTAAAGTTAAAAGGAATACAATTGCAAAAAAATCAATTTCAATATAATCAAAATCAATATTTATATATTTAAACAGTTTTTTTCAAATACAAGATAAATTTATTAGCAAATTTATTAGGAAACAAACAAGTGCCATTACAGTTTGAAAGAATTTTTCGAAAACAAAAATTAGATGTTATCCATTAAATTTGTTCAATATATACTACAGAAATTAAGTAAGTGATGATAAGTGTATAGTAGACACTTAGAAATTCTCGTCATACGTTCCTTCGTACTTCAATAATTGAAAATCAGTCACAAGTTTACTATCTAGACCTGTAAATCGTTCTTCATCCATTTTACATAATCTTAACTCAAACACAAACGATACTAATTAGAATTTATGCCGCGAATTACGTGAAATTACGAAATGAACTGTGGCACTGCACTCACGCGAAATCAGTTGTTATTAATATTATTATTTCTGGCCTATTCTGAAACAATTGGCATGTTTCAAAATGTTTCAAAATAGGCCAGTAATAATGCAACTAAATGACAAATTTAAAAAGAAAATTTAAAAAAATTTTAAAAGACAAAACAAAAGAAAAAAAAACACGCAACTAATTAGAGCTTAGAGTTGTCGATTTTGTAGGTGTTTATTGGTAGTGTAGGCGAGACGGAGAGAGATAGCTTCCGTGTTTATTATTTGCGTTTTGCACTGTTTACTTAAAACAATAAGAGACAATCTCGTTTGAACTATGTATGACCTTTGAATTTTTGATTCTGGAATTACTCGACGTGACGAATCAGAAACGCTTTTTTACGAGTGTTTCTTACGAAAATCCGTATCTAATTCGTCCCCTAATGGACTTACCAAATACGGTTTTATTAATCGCTTAAACTTATGTGGTAGCTGGAAAGGCGTATTTAATTCGTCACTTCGAGGGAACATGCTGTGTACTGTATTTCTGTTGTTTAGACCCTTATAACAGCGTACCGAACTCGTCTCTCCTTGGGGTACGTACTGTACACGGGAAGCCATATACGCGACCCGGGAATCGAACCTGGGACTTCTGCATGGCATGGTAACCGTTCGGCCACGGAGGCAGTTTATAGATAACCTAAAAGTATATATAACATAAAAGTATATAGATAACCACATATTGCACCCATACTCGCGAGAGAAATATATGTAGGCTATACAAATATTTCTCCTGGTCCGAAAATCGAACCCGGTATCTCTGCGTGGCAGTCAGCATGATAACCGTATAAATGATTAAAAACACATAATTTATCTTTGTCATAAAAACTGACGTGCCTTATCCTATAACACGTGCCGTTTTGTCCATTAAAGGCCATAAAATTTTTATAGCGCCGAACAATTGAATCTATCAGCGCTAAAGTGGTGTAACCCGCATTTTTTTTTTCTATAGTATTTATGTAAACGATAGTAAAGTACCTAATTATTTCATATAAGGATTCTACTTTGTTTTAGATTTGATTTTCATGTATAAAAATTATATCATTAAAATTTTTTTTTATATAAAAAAAAATTGTAGCATATTCCGGGAAGCGGCCGGGACTACCACACTATCGTTTACCTATAGGAATTATCCAAGGTTTTATAACCAAGAAAGGAAATTTTATAACCAACACCAACCTTTAACATTGAGCATTTATTATTGTGTACAATGTTCAACACATGCACTTAACTTTATATTAGAACTTCATTAAGCATCTGGGGTTACTACCCAAACTTAATCTAATGACGGCGACAGGTTAAAGGGTAGGCTTACGAAGTGAAGGGGGAGCAATTCCCATGGCCTGGGATTGCGCCTTAGTCACACGCAGAAATTACTCCTCCACTGCGGGAATGGGACAAGGATAGGTGGGTTGCGGAGGTGAAGGGTGAGCGATTCGCACGGCCTGGGATTGCGCCTTGGTCACGCGCAGCAATCACTCCCCAACACTTGAGGCGGACGGGGGAAGGTAGTCCCTACGCGGGGTGGAAGACGAGCAATGTACACGGCCTGGGGTTCGCATTGGTCACGCGCAACAAATTGCTCTCAACAGCCTATTACCCAGTTGAGGTCCTTACGGTAGTAAGCTCGCTCCGGCTGGCGGCCTCGCCGCAAGCCACCCGGCTTGCTGGGCGGCGCGCGTCTCCCGGCCGCTGTCGCCTTCTGCCTTCATGTACATTAATGGCAAATCTGAATTCTATTTACTAGGCAACAACATTTGAACTCCTCTGAATAATATAACCGCGCGGACGCCGCGCGACCGCCGCGCGCTCGCAGCGCGGGGCGCAGCGTAGACCAAATTCTAGCCAGACTCCCTGGCCGGAACAGTCATTTAAGCTAAAACGCTAAAGCTAAGTACATAGAGCGTATTTTGCAATGACAGATGCACGCAGTCGCTGCGCGGCGGCAACGTATACTCCGCCCGAGGACCACGCGGTGAACGCGATGAAATTCGTGTCAAATAAATGCGCCCTCACAATATTAAATTTAATATTTTTTTTAACATTAAAACAGAAAGAAATATAAAAGAATTATTTACGTCAGTATCATTTAAAGTAATATTGTAGAAAAAATAATTAATGTTGATTACAAGTAACATAGTAGAAAAAATAATTGATGTTGGTTACACCACTTTTGCGCTGACAACCTCAATTTTGTTATATAGGAAAATAAGCATGCAATTTATTAACTTTTAAGTGAGTGTTTTTTTAATAAAGTAATCTATCAAAATTGGCATACGTAAAAATCGATTCGAGACAGTGAAAAATTATAAAATAAATGGCTATAAAGTAAAGTTGCATCAGTACCTACAAAACACTATTTCGTGATAATGTCTCTTACACATTACATATATTTTTTACTTCTTTGTTGTTGGTTCAACTGCCATGGACTTTCGGAAGTAAGTGTGTACATTGTATACAAGGGTTTTTTCTTTTTTTTTATACACAGGAAAATGCGTTACGCGTACTCCGGGCTGGGATCCCGTTAAGGCTCACCACTCACAAAGCAAAAATGTGGAACGGTTCACGATTTTGCGTGTCATCCTTGCGCAGGAACTATGCTAATCTTCCCTGCATCGTTCTAACTTTAGTAGTAGTTTAGGTAGTAGTACGTATATAAGGGGTAGGCAGAGACATCTTGACACACATCTTTCTCCGTATCATCTACCCCAATTGTTTGCATTTATTTTTTAAAATACCAAGCGACGGGACGAGCAAGTTTTGCTCCTGGTGGTTAACGACACGCCTATCCATAACAGTTACAGTGTAAGCAGTGTTAGTAGTGTAATTTAGATTGCTCGTTTCTGGCCGTAATATCATTACTTATCCAGGTGTACAATAAACATTTCCTAAATATTTTTTGCACTATGTAAATACTAAATTAATTTTCTACGGTTTTACCTCGTTCATAGTAACATCTATGGTTTTAGTGAGCTTATTGAATTGTAGTCTTTCGGACGTCATTCAAGTACATGGTAAGTTAAAGGTAGGACACTTTCCTTTGAAGAAATAGATTTCTCAGAGATGGCGCTACGGTTTCGTTAAAAACCGAAAATAAAGATCTGCACATAAACACAACACATAAAACAGCACATTAAAAAATTCGTAAGGGCCGCTGGTTCGTTCCGTGGCTTAGTTAGCGGTTTGCTGAAAGACGCTGGTTCGAATCCAGCCGGATCCAAGGAAATTTTTCTTTTTTGTATTAATAATTATTTTACTTTTGTTAAATTATTCTGGTTACGTATTTAAATGTGTTGCCAACATTAGCCCATGCCTAATACCTTCGAAGAGTTTGTTACGTTTTTCTACATGCATTTTATTTCACAGCTGTGCCTATAGCAATTGATAATACATACAGCAATTATATTGTGTCACATCTCTTTTATTATATGTAGGTAGCACTAGATAATCTCAATATAACTAAAAAAATATTGTGCATAACGTGTTACACCGTATTTTTATTTCAACCTTCGCCTTGTTGGGGAATTTTGAAGAATTAATCATTACTCTTGACAAACATTAATGTCTAGTTGTCATAGGCACCACAATTTCAGGGTTAAACAAGGAACTTCTCAGTCGGTGTGTTGAATGACTTAGGGATGACATAACACTTTTCGTGAAGACTCTACCTTCCAATCATAAACGTACGAAGCGTCTACTCATCATTAGACAAGTCCCATGTGTCTGTAATTTCACCAGCACCTTACCCTTCGAAACCGGAACGCAGTAATGGTCTCATTACTGCTACGAACTACTGGGACGAACTCTTTCTAGAGTACTGTACTGCTATTAAATCTATCTACAGACATATACTTCACGCCTTTTTCCCATCGGGGTAGGCACAAATAACAGTCTTCCACTCGCTACGGTTCTGACACACATCTTTCGCCTCATCAACTCGCCAACACGCATCAGTGCTTTCATACACGCTCGTCGATTAAGGATGTTCTTGATCTGATCCTTCTTTAGGATGACCTCAATTTGGTCATGGTAAGTTCGCCTTGGTCGGCCTATACCAACTTGCCCGCTCACACTCGCCTTGAACCTGAACCATCTAAGCATCCCTTTCTCTATCTTTGTCACTAAATCGTCTTCCAAGCCGCAACGCGCTCTTATCGCACTGTTCCGTAATTTATCCATCACAGTCATTCCAGCCATACTTCTCAAAGCTTTCATTTCTCTATATGAATTCTACTTTCGTCCTTCTTCTGCCAAACCCAACATTCAAGACATTACATAAATGTAGGAACCAGCACCCAAGCCAGTCATGCCTTTTTACTTTTTACCTTTTGACACTTTCTGGCTGCCTGAAGGCATGCAAGGCACCATTCACCCACTTGTTCCACTCTATTCGCTCCTTCAATCAATGTCGTGCAATCCGTTATATCTTCCTCTCTTTCAAAAACCATTACTATCATCTTATCCACATTGATTTTCATTCCTTCCCTTCTTAAAGCACCATACATAATATTTACCATCTCATGCAATTCCTCCTCTGACGACGCTAATATCACCTAGTCATCGGCGTAAAGGAGGCACTTGACGAGTAAACCATTCATTTTCAGCCCACACGTACTCTCTTTCAAAACTTTCAAACAATTATCCATGAATAGGTTGAACAGCCATAGCGAAGCTACACATCCCTGTCTAACACCTTTCCCGATATTGAACTAGTCAATGTAAGCACCATTTATTCTGACACAGGCACTGGAATCTTCATACAGAGATTTTAGTGCCTGAACTAAGTGCCGTCCACCCCATACAAAGACAATGTCAACCACAATTCATTCCTTGACAATCTGTTGTAGGTCTTCTCCAAATCTATAAAAGCGCCATGGACTTTTGTCTTTTAGCCAAGAATTTTTCGGCTATGCTTCGCAAGGAGAAGACCTGATCCATATATCCCATTCCATTTCTAAATCCCGCTTGCACGTCCCAAAGTTTTTCTTCCGTTTCTTTCATCACTCTCACCTTTGCATATAATTTGCCGACAATGCTAACAAGGCTGATTCCTCTGTAATTTTTGCAGTCCTGCTGCGACCCTTTTCCCTTATATAATGGTATGATGACAGCCTTACCCCAGTCTCCTGGCACTAGCCCGCTTGACCAAAAAAGGTTGAAAAGGCGGTACAGCTGACTAGCAACCCTGTCCAACCCTCAACATTTCAACAGCAATTCTGTCATATCCTGCAGCCTTACCAGATTTCATACTATTCAATGCTTTTATAATCCCTTCCATGCTTATATTTTCATCTTGACTTCCGCTCGTCTCTATGGCGGTCTGAGCCTGCAAATAACTTCAAAGAACAAATGTACTTCTTCCTTTTCAAACAAACTTTCAAAATACTCCTTCCATCTCTTTAATACGCATTCTTCTCCTTTGACTACACTTGCATCGTGGCCTCTGATTTTTTGCAGTTGCGAGGTTGTGATTTTGCCTCTAGCTGTTCTTATAGACTTCCAAAACCATTTAATGTTGCTTTGAAAGTCATATATAATAACTTTCTGTTAAACTCGTCTTTCTAGCGCTCTTTCTTCCTTCCCACAACATCTTTCGCTTCACCTTTTATTATTTTATACTCTTTCCTTGCCTCGTTTACATCCTTTTTCGTTGCCTTTTGTATTCTTTTATTAGCTTTCATAGAAAACCAATCTAACGTTTTTTCTTATCAGACAAAACGTTCCAAACGTCTTCATCCAAAAAAACATTCGTCATCATAAGCCTTTTTTTCCTTTTGTATAAATCTATCTAACTATAGCATACCCCGGCTAAATAGTTGCGAGACAAATCTAGCCTAGTGCATGAATCATTAGACAATTCTGTGTACGCAATTTAAGCTGCAACAAAGCGGTATTTCTAGCTTGTAAATTAATTAAAAACACATTCCTCAAACATCTCGTAGTGAAATAAATTATTTCAAATTTTAAACTTTGACTAAAGCGACCCGAAACACTCACTCATACATGACATGACAATTACGATTTATATAACATTTACAATGAACTGGTTAAAAAAAACTGATTAAACCTTAAATTAATACTGTTTCGATGAGTATCGGTGTATATCGCGGGTGCCATGGACATACACATAGACAACCAGTAGTTACACCCAAACTCAAGAGAGAAAGAAATGTAGGCCATACTAATATTTCTCCCGACCCAGGAATCGAACCCAGGAACTCTGCCTGGCAAACCAGCATGGTACCTCTGTACCATAGGCAAGCGCCCGGGTTTTAACCCGCCACTTTGTTAAGCCCGGTTTTAAATCGGGTTAAAGCCTATTAACACTCGAAATCGAGGGCAAAAACTATATACAACTAAATATTTGCCGCGTATTGAGGATATTATTACAAATCTTTATTACTTTCTGATCTAGACGGTAAGATTTGCCTTTCTATTGAATCAATTCGCTTGAAAATCGCATTGAAATTAATCGATACAAAAAATCGTTACATCGTATGCACTTGAATCCATCTTCGTCAAAATCCTTGTGCATCCTTAGTAGTAAGAATTCCCACGATTGCGATGTGTGTATTGTGTGGAGTTACCTCCTTTTCATGTAAAAAATCTTTTTTTTACATAGAAATTTGTCACAAATATGGAATTATATACCAAATTTCGTATTCGCCGTTTTTATAACTGCCTTCGTGGCCGAACGGTTACCATGCCGGACTGCCACGCAGAGGTCCCAGGTTCGATTCCCGGGCCGGGCGAAATATTTGTATGACCTACATTTATTTCTCTCGTGAGTTTGGGTGTTATTTGTGGTTGTCTATCTGTGTGTCCATGGCACCCGCGACACAGGGTTTCCCTAGTGCGGGGCTATGTTGAGTGTGTGCGTTATTATTATTATATTATTATTATTATTATTTTCCCCACGGTTTTTCCGCAAATATGGGTTAAAACCGCGCTTTGGGTTAAAACCTGATTAAAACCTGGGCAGGTTAAACCCACTGCCCATCTCTGGCATGGTAACCGTTCATCTTCCAAAGCAGTTAAATGTCCTAATCGATATACAACCATCCACAAAATCTCCAAAGGCGCTACGCCGCGAAAGGTGACCCATCCCATTTTTCGAAATTTGTTAACAACGTGACATATCTATTACAGGTACCTGATACTGTGTGTGACACAAAAGCTGTCCTTTCTAACCCTAAAAACGAAACGTGTCCAGGCTGCGTAAACGAGGAGAAGGACTATGATAAACAACAAATAGGAGACATGATTGATAAGGCGCTACACGAACTTACCGAAACAAAAAATGTGAAATATTCTCGAGGAACAATTGTAAAAGTTAAATCTGGTGTAGTGGCTGGCATCATGTACTTCATACATTTCCAAGCCACTAAAAGTGACTGCAAAGAAAAGGAATGTCCCATCGCAGAATGCTATACAAGTGTAGTACATAAGAGATGGCTCAACGAAACAAATGTTATATGTATCGAATGTGAATAAATTTTGCACGTGACGGTATGGCAATCGTAGTTCATGGTATAAAAGGCTCTTAACACTGTCTCTATTATTCTCTAAATCATTTTCACTGGTTACTATTTACTCAAACGTCCCAGACGTATTGTACACACACCATACAGCAGTATTATATTTTTCACCTCACTAGCTCGGAAAGGCTTTCTTTCTCATTAGAAATCTGTGCGCAAAAGCGTTTTTTCCACGCTAGCGTGGATACGATTTTTGAAATTCGAACTGACTATGGACTATGGTGTGCCTAATTTCTTTCAATGAAAATAGTTATTTTTGATGTAAGTGCGGAAAGTTAGTCATTATCCACGAGGCTCGAGGCTTCTTGGCCCGAGCCAGAGGCGAGGGTCAAGA